ACACGGGGGACAGACTGGTGGTTTCGGATGGGGGGGTGAGCGGGGATGAGATGCACGGAGGGGGTCGAGGGGCACCAGCTTCGGGCATAAGCTAAGCAGGTCCCAGGATGTGACTGGTAACACTGTGCGGAGCTGTTACCTGTTTGTGGGGACACCCGCTCACTAGACTTCCTGCAATCACTCACAACACACACAGATCCCGGATCGGCGGGCTATGCCCTGACACTAACATCAGGCTCCATGGGAATTGCACTTCGGTTTTAAAAAGGAAGGAATTTTGCCACCTGCTACCACAGGGAGGGACCTGCGGACACGAGACGAACAGTGCGGGACCCCATTTCTGAGGGACCCCAGAGGGCAGCTGGGGGGGCTGGGGAGGGGGAGTGAGTGTTTAGTGGGGACAGAGATTTAGTTGGTGAAGATGGAAAGTTCTGGAGACCGCTAGTGGTGACAGCTGCATGGAGGGGAAGGCGCTGAAGGCCCCCTGAAATGGACACACCCAAACAGGTTAAGACTGTCCGCTCCAGGTGATGCGTATTTTAATACAATAGAAAGAAGGGGGAAGGAGCCCTTCTCCACCACGGATCAGGCCTGATGGGACCACAGGGAGCCTCTGCCAGGAGGGCAGCTGGCAAACACACAGCCCCTGCCTGCCACCCTCGGATGCTGATGCTGGTGAAGCCCCTTCTGGCTCCTTCACAGGGAAATGGGACCCAGGAGCCGGCTCCCAGGCATGGGGGACCGCTGCTGGCAGGCCCCTGGTCGGAGCAGGGCTTCACAAATGGCCAACGAGGAGGGTGGGGCCTGAGTACAGGGCCCGTGTCCCCCTTCCAGGAGCTGTATCCTGGAGCAGCGCGGGCCCAGCTCACACTCCCCGGCCTGCCCAACAGCTCCGCATCCCTCTGGGGCAATCTCAGTCTAGTGAGTGTCCCCCGGCCTGGCGGCCCTGGCTGACTGGGCCTCCCCTGCTGGGGTGGAGGTGGGGGCAGCTGTTTCCCAGCCCCCCAGATACGGCGGCAGGACGTTGTGCGGGGGGCCTGCTGGCCTGGGGCCAAGGAGCACAGCCCGCAGGGTCCCGCACCATGTCGGGCCGAGAGTCACCTTGTGACCCAAGTCCTCCGACTCTGCCCTCTCAGACGCTTGCAGCCCGGCGCTCACAGCAGCCAAGGGGTGGGAGCCACGCAGGTGTCCCGGGTAGATGGCGGACGGAGCGGAGAGTGTCCATGTAACAGAAGCACGGCCACGCGAGCCGTGGACGGCCGCAGACACTATGTTGAGGGAATGCACCAGACACGAGGCAAACACAGCAGGACTCCTCTCCCATGAGGTCCAGGAGCCATCAGACCACCGACCCAGAGGCACGGGTGGGGCTGGAGGTGCACATGGGGGCCCGTGTTTCCAATTGACAGGATGGTAAGGCTCCAGAGCCCGATGGGGAGCGGGCACAGGGACGGGAAAATACTTAACACCCCTGCACACCTAAGCCCGTCACAGTGGGGACGTCCAGCCGGAGCAATCAGTGAGCCTCCGACTCCCGGTCTCAGCTCAGGTCCTGATCTGGTCTGGGATCGGACCAGCTTCAGGCAACCTGCTCTGGTGGGGAGTCTCTGCTTCCTCTCTCCCTCTGCCTCTCCCCATGCTCGTGCCCCTGCCTGCAAGTATGCGTAGGCATGCTCTCTCCCCCACCAAATAATCTTAATTAAAAAAAAGAAAAGACGTTTAAAATGATAACTTTTAAAAAAAAATTTGGTTTAACCCCAAAACCAGGTGGGCCTCTGCCCCAGAGATGGGTGCAGCCGCCGCACCCACCCAGGAGGCCCTCTCCAAACAAGACCAAATTCCTGAAAGACCACCCCCTACACACACACACGCACCCCAGCCGCTTTTGTCCTGGCTTACAGCAAGTTCCGAAAGGTCCCGTCCGCCATGAAGCCTTCCAGGGCTGAGCAAGCCGCTTCCGCTCTGAGGTCACCCGCGGGGCTGTGAGGGCACGTACTCAGGTTGTGGCTTAGCTGCCAGGACGGGCCCCCCAGGCCAGAGTCAGACCCCCGGGGCCTGGTTCCAGAAACGTGCTGGGAGCAGCCTAGCCTCCACGCAGCCATCCCAAACTGTCCGTCTTGGCAGAAACCGGCACCTCCTCACCCAGCCGCCCGTGTGTCAGAGGCCCAGGTGCTCCCAGATTGGCTTTACCTGGTGCTTCCACGTGACTCATGCCCAGGTGACATGCATCAAAGGACCACAAGGTTATCACCCACACCCAAACCCAACTGAAGATGTGAGAGCTCCCAAGTCCTCCGGGAACATTGGACCTGAGGCTCAAGGGAAACACTGTCATTTGTCCTGACGAGGTAGGCAGCTTGGGGGACGACGTGCCGAGCTGCCCCTCTCGACCCCCAAGATGGAGACCCAACCCAGGCCTTGCAGAGGAAGGGACCCATACACACCCAGTCCCCCAGGCCTGTCATGAAAGCCACTTCTCTGGGAGGCTGCTACCTGGGTCCCATGCTCAAAGGAAGGGGCAGCCCACTACAGGAGCAGGTCCTGTGAGGGCTGTGGGGACACTCCTAACCCCAAGGCTGCCTCCCTCCTGGAAGCCCTCACAGAGCCAGCTGGCCAGGCCTGCCCAAATCTCCTGCAAACCCCTCCAGGCCTGGTGCTTATAGGTGGCCCAGGCCTGGCCTTCTGGCCCACAGTCCAGGGTCCCTGTGCCCCTGCCCCCAGCAATGCCCGGCTCCTGACTGGCTATGGTGAGGCAGGGCAGCCCTGAGCCAGTCCGGGTCACCACAGAATGGCCCCTAGCCACCCGTCTGGGTCGCGGCAGGCACAGAACCTGGACAGACCAGGCGGCTTTATCCAAGCAGCGGAGACTGTGGGCGTGCATTCCATGGGGGTCACAAGGGAGGGCGAAGGGCAGCAAACCTCACCCCCAACACCCCTGGAGCAGAGGGGAGGCCAAGAAGGGGGGAAGAGCTATAACACCAAGACACCTGCTCTGCCTTTGAAGCCCCACGTCCCCCAAGGTGGCTCAGGTTTCCGAGGCCTCAGTTTCCCCAGCTGTGAAATGGGGGCAATCGCCAGCATCTTGCCTGCTCCACAGGGCTTCCAGACAGATAGAGCAAGACACTGGTGTCATGGGCCGATTCTACAAAACCAGAGGCTGGGCCCAATGCCAGGGAAAGCTGGACTTGTAAGAACAGTCCGCTCCAGAGCCCAGCGTGCCTGCCTTGGAGCAGCACCCTCTGGCTGAGTGGGTGGGCTGGGCATGGCAGTGCTCGCTGTGAGGGGTGGGGTCCCTGCAGGGCCCAAGAGGCCAGGAAGCCCCCTGTCCCACCTGCCAGGCTGGAACCCCCCACCCCCCAAGGTCACTGGAGGGAGGCTCTAGCTCCAAAGGCGCAGCTCCTGAGCAGTGTAACTCAGAAGGAGAGTGAGAGGGCCAGCTCTCTGGCCCGTGACCCCCCGCCTCCCCCACCACCCCGCCACAGGCTGAGAGCTCAACATGCCGGTGACCTCTCCCTGGTGCATCCCTTTTTCCGGAGCAAGTGCAAGTTCAGGTCTGGAGGAGGGAGGCAGGGAGAGAGTGAGCCAAGCCAGCCAGCTGGAAGGAGCAGAGCACAACGGTGGTGCCAACGCTGTCCCCCCGCCCCTGGCACCATCAGGGTGGGCCCTGCAGCTCCCCGGCTCAGGAGGCTGGGGGAGAGGCCACTGCAGCCTGCCTGGCTTCCAGAGAAGACTGTCGGCGGCTCCGGGACACTCAAGCTCCTGGTGTAGCCTCTCTTGGCAACACCGCAGCTGACCAGCGGATTCCCAGGACCCGGGGCTGCCAAAGACCACCCCCAGCCCAGTGGGTAGGCAATAGAGGAGCGTGGGCCACTGGGTCCCTTCTGGAGTGCCCAGAGGCTGCGTGTCTCCAATTGCTGTCTCAGGACAAATGCAGCCCCTGCCCCTGGGGGACGTAAGCTAGGTGTGTTCTGAGGAGTCTGAGCTGGGAGCCCCCAGTGGGGTGTGCAGTGTCCCCCTGAATGCCTGGGGGGAACAGCCCCTGAGCAGGGCTGCCCTCCTCCTGGAGGCAGCGGGAGCAGGTGCAGCCCTAGGGGCTGTTCCTTCTCCAACCTCCCCCTCACAAGGACCAGGGGCTGCTGCTGACGGCTCACAAGCAGGGTTCTGTCAGCCTGGAAGCACAACCTGTCCTTTTCCTGTCAATCCCAGGACAAATCGCCCCAGGAAGGGAGAGGAAGCTCCTCAGGCCTTTGGCACCTTGGAAATCACCCCAGAGCAGGGCCACCCAGGAGCAAAGTCCAAGAGATGCCTGATGGGAGGATGGCGCAGGTGGACGGAGAGCCTGTTACAGGCAGGACGGCCCTGGTGCCCCACCTGAACTGGCCACCTGCCCAGAGCAGCCAGTTGCCAGGGTGGGGACAGGAGAGCCCTCACCCACAGGCCGTCCTCCCCCAGTCCTCTGCTCAGGGCATGTGCAAAAGGGTGGCCCCAGGTGGGGGGCCATGACGTCACCTCCAGGTGGTGGGGAGCCAGGTGGACCCCCACACCCACACCCACACACATAAGCCGGGGGGCCTTTCTCTCTCTGCAGACACCCAACCGGGGCGATTTCCTCTTTCTCTGCGGAGCCGAGGTTTCGCAACGCGGAGGCGGTCCGCGGGTGACAGCGAGACACGCGGGGTGGGGGGGAAGGGGGGAGGGGAGGCAACACAGCCGCAGGCCCCGGGGCCGCTGGGAGGCGACGTCCGGCTCCATGCAGGTGCACCCCAGGCCCGCGCCCCCGGCCACGCAGGCGCCACAGCTCTCCTTCTAGTCCTCAGGGCGGGCATCCAGGCCGGCACCCACCCCGGGCCGCACCCATCCTGGCCCCGCACCCACCCCGGCCAGCGCCTCACAGGGGTGCACCCGCCCCGCTCAGCATCCCCCCGGCCCCTCGGCCAGCCCGGCCCCGCACCCACGCGGACCAGCCGCGACCCCGGAGGAACCCGCCCGGCCGCACCTACCCGGGGCGCCGCAGTCGGCGCATCTCGTGTTCCCCGGCCGCTGCAGCAGCTCCAGCACGGCCCTCCGCCGCTCCTTGGCCATGGCCGCGACGCCGCCCGCCCGAGATGCCGGGCAGGGGCCCGGAGCGTCCGCCCTGCCGCGCTAGGGCCCCACGCAGGCTGCCCGCCGCCCGCGGCCCTGCGCCATCCTGGGCGGCCTCAGCCCGCGCGCCGGTTCCGCATTCCTGCCGCCGGGCCCGGCTCCGCCGCCGCCGCCGCCGCCGCTGGTGTCTCCGCCGCGGCCGCTGAGCGTGTGCCGGCGCGGGGCCCGGGGCGCACCGCGCGTTCTGGCCGGCACGGCCCGCGGGCGGCCCCCAGCGGCGCGGGCGGGCGGGCGGCCTCCTTCCGCGCCCAACCCGTCCCCCAGCCCGCGCGCCTCGGGACCAGCCCGACGGGCTCCCCGCTGCCCACCCCCATCTGAGCACAGCGCCACCAGCTCCACCAGTGGGGGGCCTGAGCAGGCCCAGGTGGGCTCCTCCGTGAGCTCCTGGAGGTGGGGAGCAGCACCTGGACACCTACTGTGTGCCGGTCCGGCCCCGTAGGCCCACGGGCTGAGGGAAGGGGTGCCCGCTCACACCATCCCTGCCCCAGGGAGGAGATGGCCAGCAGGCCCCAGCGGCCACAGGAGGGACACCACAGTGGGGGTCTCCATGCCAGGAATAAAGCCCCACCATGTCAGGAGGCAGGGACCCAGGAGTGAGAGAGAGGGGAGAGACAGAGGGGACAGGTAATGGGTGTCCCTTCCTCTGCCTGCCTCTGCACTTTCCCGAATTCTTCCCATCTTCTTAAATTATGGATCCAATGATCCACACGATTGAAATAAGCATCCCATTAAAGGATTACAGCTTCTCTCTATCCCCATCCCAGGCAATTCCGAGCCAAGCTCTGTGAACCATCCCTCTGCCTCCTTCCAGAATGGTCCTCAGCCTGTGGTAACACCAGGGGAGTCCCCAATCCTTCTGACCTGCCACTGGGTTTTTGGGTGTTTTTTTTTTTTTTTTTTCACTTAATAAGACCTTGCTTATCTTCCAAGTCCATACATACAGACCTCCTTCTCTTTCAGTGACTGCGTTCCACTCAGCTGACCTGCGACGTGTGCACCCGGCCGCGGGCAGAGGAGCATTTAGGGTGTTTTCAGTGCGTCAGGGTCACAGCCCCCCCCCCCCCCCCCCCCCCCCGCCCACCGCCAGTATCTCATGAGTGTTAGAGTGGATTCCCATCACAAAGGAGCCCCTCCGGGACACGGAGAAAGGCACTGCCGTTGGCAGCAGACCCTGCCAGTTGCCCACGGTGGGGCCACACCAGCCTTGATCCGCCAGGTGCCTGCTTCCCGGGCCGCGGTCACCTCGGGGGACACAGAGCTTCCGGGCCTCGTCCATCTGGCCGGCAGAATGGGGCACGCTGCTCCGCCCTGCTAAGTCAGCGGGGCTGTGGTGCGCTGTGCTCAGCTGGCCACACGTCTCTCTCTGCCATCAGAATGGAGCCTCCTGAGCAAAGACAGACGGCGTTTTCTCCTCTGGGCCCCTGTGCCAGGCTCGGAGCCTGCCACCCAGCATACGTGAGGAGAACGTTGCTGAACAAAGATGTTCATGACAAGTTACAGCTACTAACTAGTTAACTAGGCATCAGGTTAAACCCCTCAATGGACTTTCTCATTTAACTCCCATTTATGGGGAAACTGAGGTACGGAGCAATCCAATCAGTGGCCCAAAGCCACACATGGGTTCCACATGTCAGGACTGGGGTAAACGCGGGACCAGAAAAAGAGACGCACACTGGGAAGGCTGCCCAGAGAGGGCAGAGAGGAGCATGGACCCACAGAGGGGCCGCAGAGAGGTCTCGGGGAAGAGCAGGTGTGGACCTGGCTTCCTGCAGGAGGGAATCACATGAGCAGACGGCCACAGCCTGCCCAGGGTGGGTCCTCTGCCATCTCTGTCTTCCCTTCTTCTCTGTCTTCCCTTCTTACTGAGGAGGTGATGACATCCCGGGGGGGGGCGGGGCAGGGGGTGAGAAAAGAGAAGTCAGGATATGAAACCAGAGTCCCCAAAGGAGGCAAGAGCCAGAGCTACAGCCCCTGTCCTGGGCTTCCCGGCAAGGGGGTCGCACCCACAGGATCCAGACGGTGACAACACAGCCTGGGCTGGGCCAGAACCAGACTGGGGCCGGCGTTTGGAGACACGGGGTCAGCATGGGCGCCCTGACTGCCCCTGCCCACCTGCCCACAACCCCTGCTCCCTCTGCCAGCTGTCCCTGGTCTTGCAAGGCTGAGACAAAAGCCCCTGAATCCCAGTTACTCAATCATCTTCTGGGCCTGGGAGGGGGGCCCAGCGAGACTTGGTGCCCGCCTGCCCAGGAGCACTGAGCCACACAAAGCAGACGCTGAGCTCCTGGTGGGCCGGGTCTGTCTGCTCCCGTGCCCACAGCACAGCTAGTCGGCCGGCAAGGTGAGACCAGGGCCTTGGCCCCAAGCCAGTAGGGCAGCGCCTTGGCACTAGCAGGGGCCGGTTCTCCCAGGGAAGGAGGGAGTGAACAGAGGCTTCCGGGAATCAAGGCCAGCCCTGGGCCTCATGGAGGGGATGAACCCTGCCCTCAGCCTGACAGAGAAGCCATTTTCCAAAGGTCGATGATGGGGGCACTGCCAGGCTCCCTGCCCCGCTGATAACACAGGTTGTTGCCACCTCCTCCTTGAAGCCCTCCCCAACCATCCAGGCAGAAACTCCCGGATGAGGAAAGAGACCCCAAACCAGTGTCAGGACTTTGTCCATGGAACCCAGAGCTCCCAGCCCAGCATTTTGAGATGATCAGGCCCAGAGCATGTCATGTTCTAACACCCCCTTGACAAGAATACAAAAGAAAACCACCTCTCAACCAATTTCTTTCTATAAACTAGGTGTTTTCACTCTACCAACTGGATTTCTAAGATCTCCAAAGCAGGCACCAATATGAACACCGGGGATCTCCCAGCAAGCCCTCTGGATGCGACTGGCTTCCCAGCAGAATGGCACCTGGTCTCTGTCCAGCATCTCCCATGTTTCCAGTCCCAGACAGGATGCTGCTGAGGCGGCTGGAAGCAGAGGGAGCCTGGTCCTTGCTGGCTTGCAGCTCAGAAGAGTGAGGTGGGCTGGGAAGCTGACGGGATGCTCTGGGCTCCCAACTCAGGCCTTGTCATCGAGACTTGCAGTGGAGAGCTGGCCTTGTCCGTGGGCACTGGACAGAAACCCTGTGGCCCAGCCAGGGAGACAGGACAGAGAACCAAAGGCTCCCGGAGGCGAAGGGGGCACAGGGACGCTTTGAGAGCGGGGCATCTGGCCAAGGCACCTCCAGGCAGCCAGTAAGGTTTGCTCTGGGGCTAAAGGGAGGGCTGGGTACAGAGGCCAGAGAGGCCAGGAGGGCCCCCCGAGGTGCCCAGGGGGCAGTGACCCTGAAATGAAGGGTCCTGGAGGGCAGTGCTCCCTACCCAGGGCCGAAAGTGTCTCCACGGTGCACTACTGTGTTTGCTGGCTTATGCTGGGGTTGAATTGCCTCCCAACCCCTATCCCTGGGAGGATGAATGTGGCCTTCTCTGGGGACAGGATCTTTGCAAAGGAGCAAGTCAAGTCAAGGTCATGGGGTGGGCCCTGCTCCATGACTGTGTCCTTATAAAAGGGGTATTTGGACACAAACAAACATGCGGGGAGAATACCATGTGATGGAGGAAGGGGTGGGGAGAAATGTGTCTGCAGCCAAGGAACCACAGGGGGCTTGGGGACCCGGGCCTGGACCAGCCCCGCCCTCTGCGCCTCCAGGAGGCACCTGCGATTGACCTGGGACTGGGAGGAAACAAAGGTCTGCAGTTCAAAGCCTCACAAGCAAAGGAACACAGTTTGACGTTGGTTTTCTCAGCTGCTTTTGTACAACAAAGTTAGGAAACTGACAGCTGGCTTGTGGGTACGTGGGCTCCCTCGGCTGCCCACTACGTGGGGACCCCTGGCCTCTCTTCCCTCCCTCCGCCTCCTGCCAACAGTGGGGAGGGTCCAGGCTGTCTGGACCAATCTAACTTGGGGTGAGATAAGAACAAAGGGGCTGGGGGTCCAATAGCTTTAGAGACCCCAGGCCCAGTCTGGGCACATTTTCTTCCCCTTGAAGCCAAAAGAAATCCAGGATGCTCCCTCCATACAGCCTCCTTGGGGCCCCCAGCTTCCCACCTAAAACACTGGCCCGGGGTTGTCCCTTCCTGTGGGACCCCCTCTTGGTCCCACCTCTTTGTCCTCCCTCCAGAGGCTGATGGGTAAGGGTAGGCCTCGAGAAGGGCCAGGGGCAGCAGGAATTGTCTGCTCCAGCCTGGCTAGGAGCCCCCATAGGGCAGGCCCTGCCTCCAAAGAGGAGAAAGAGATCAGCCATCACCTGTGTTAGCTGGAGGGGGCAGGGAAGGCCAGCCAGTATTGGTGGACAGAGGTCGGCAGGGCTTCCCAGGGTGAGTCTGAGCCAGCTACAGGAAGGCATTTCAGGCCGACGAGCATGGGGGCTTGGGGCCGTAGGGGAAGTACTGGAGGGTCTCAAGGCCAGACCCAAGGGTCCTGACACAGTTCGGGGGGGGCTGACCCCTGTCCTGAAGGTGTGGGGAGTAAGGAGAGCGACTATATGTCTGCCCTTGGGGATCCATGGGAAGGAGTCTGGGAAAGGCAGGCCTGAGACCGAGGACCCCAGGGAGACAGCTGTGCTCATCTGGGTGTGGAGGATATGCACATGGGGAAAGGTGGACTCAGGACTCTGTAGCTCCATGGGAGGCCCTGGGGATGGTGGCACCACCAAAGCTCATGGACCATCAGGGAGGGGTCCACTTGGGGGATCATGGGCACAGAAGCAGAGGGCTGGAGACAGGGACTGGGGCCCCTGGAGTGCGGGGAGGCTGCAGCTGGCGGGCCCCCCGGAGGGGCTGAGCTGGGGAAAGGGGACCAGGTGACCCGGGCACAGGGAGGGCCATGCAGAAGGCAGGGGAGAGCTCTCAGGAAAGGGGTGAGTGAGGCAGGACAGTGGGGAAGCTGCGGAGCAGACAGCAGGTGGAGAGGACAAGCTCAGACAAGGAAGCAGCAAGAGACCTGGGTGCTTCCAGTATCTGCTGTCCGCAAAGAAGTGGCCCCTTT